AAGAAAACAAACAAAATAATCGAAAAAAAAGGAGTAAAAGCAATAAGAATCACATTATCCCAAATGATGATAATGGTAGTTTAAAAGAATCAATTCCTATAAATGATAAAAGATCATTTAAAATCAATAGTGTGGATATAAATAATAGTTATTATATCAGTTGTGACAATCTCCAATTAAACGAATTAACCGATAATATAAAATTGGGTTATAATACCATTGTAATGGGATCTTTTAAGAGTGGGAAAACATTCCACATGAAATCATTGGCAATGAATAATGAATTTTTTAATTTGGCGTATGTATTGAAATATAATATTTTCTTTTAGAAAATAATAATGATAATTAACTTCAAAACAGAATTTCTTTTCCTTTAAACTTATCAACAGACATTTCAGCATTTATTTGCAAAGAGCTAGACCAAAATTTTTTGGGGGGCCAAAACACTGATTATTTTAATGTAAGTTTGTACACTTATATAAATAAAATTCTAATATTAATTAATTTTAAAATTTTATAGTTTATGTTGACAACATTAAAAAATTATAAAAAAAAAGTTGTATTATTATTTGACGATTTTCAAAATGTTTTGGGTAAAAATGATGTTCAAGATTTTTTGTTATTTTTAAAAAGGTTAAGAGACCATCCATCAGGAATTATTCAATCAATTGTTTTTTTCGGGAATTATGATCTGTTCCAATTATCGTCACTATTACTTAGATTCAATACTTCATCGCCTGTATCATTCGATTCAAATGTATTTCTATCCAAAGCTACCAAAGAGGAAACAAAATCTTTATTTTTACAATGGTCAAAAGATAATGGCATTCATCTGAACGATGATTTTCTCAATCAATTATATTTTTATAGCAATGGGTATTAAATTAAAATTATTATTAATATCCAAAATTTTAAATTTCAAATACTTATTTTTTCTAATTATAAACTATAGAGATCCACATCTAAATGGTATATTTGGTATTGCTTTAACAAGTCAATTAAGAAATAGACAAGATCTTTCAAATTTTGGTTCAATTAAAAAATCAATTTTTGATTTAATGAAACAGCAACAGCAATATTATTTCTTAAAATCATATGTAGCAAAATCTTCATTGGGTGATATTTTAAATGGTATTGTCTTAAAAACTTCATCGGTTGGTAAGTTATTTCTTAATTTTAGATATTAAACAATTATTTATATATTAAATTTAATTTTTTTATAGAGGATATTAACTACAGTGACTTGATTACACTTTCAAATTTTGGTTTGTTTTACTATATAAATTCAAGGTTTGAAATATCAGCCCCAATTTTAATTGATTATCTTTTAGAAAAGTCGTCTGTTTTATAAAAAAAAAAAAAAAGAATAAATAGATAAAATAAAATGAAAAATTTAATAGTAAAGTAATAGTTATTATGATCTTATAGTGTTTATTTTTTAAAATAACAGTTAATTTTATATATTCATAATTTGTTCAATTTCTATTTGTTATTTGATTGTCTTTAAAAAATAAAAAATAAAAAAAAATTAAAAAAAAAAAAAAAAAAAAAAAAAAAAAAAAATTAAAACCACATACAATGGGGTTGAGGTTCATACATTTATTATATTGCAATGATATATAAATACATGATATATGTTTCAATTTTTTTTTTTTATTAATTACATAGTGATTTATTTTTGTTATTACCTTGATGAAATCAGCTATGTTTTCAAAAAATTTATGTGTATTTTGGGGGGGGTGGGGTTATACTGCTAGATTATTACTTTGAACGCGATTGTGTGATGGTTGTAAAGGGTGTTTTATACTGCTGGAATATGATTTTGAGTGTGATTGTTAGATGGTTGTAGAGGGTGTTTATACTGCTGGAATATGTTTTTGAGTGTGATTGTTGATGGTTGTAGAGGGTGTTTATACTGCTGGAATACGGTTCTGAGTGGATGGTGATTGGCATTAAATGGAAGCGTGACTCTGTTTTTTGGTTCTGATTAAGTTGAATATTGTCGTGAACTTTGTTTTCGAATATTTGATCGCAACGTTAGATTAGAAGCTTTGAATGTATTGATATTGAGGAATAAAGAATTGGAATTAGGCTAAATAAGAATTAAAGTTAAATATTAGTTTCTTTTATTTTTAAAAATATGAATTATTTAAATGTTATTATTATAGTTACCTTTTTTGATTTCTATATAATTATTTGGAACTGGAACTTTAATATTATAAATTTACTTTGCTTTTTTTGTTTCAGAGCTGAACAATATGATGATATATATATTATTAAAATATTGATAATGATTTGACTATTTTGAACTTATTTAACGAATTTTCGGATGATGTATATAAATGTAATTGGGATCTATCAATGAAACTATGAATGAAACGAGTTAATTAATAATAAGGACTTCATCATATTCGTTTAATGAAACTTCGAATAAAGTACCTAAATTATTAATTTAATCGCCCTCAATTTCATGATTAATTCATATTTATATAATCATCAAATATTGGTTCGTAAATGTTATGAATAAAACGACGACGTAATAAACGGTGATAAACTTGGTCCATGTCACCACTAAATTCATCATCGGAGTCATTATCATTATCATTATCAGAATTATTGGAATCATCAAGGAAGTTGTAATCTAATTCTTGTTCATGGGCTCTATTTTCAACATCGCCTACTATGATTGGTTCTTGACCGGCTCTCTACAGTTATAAAATGAAAAAAATTAATATATATTTTTTTATTTATTAAGTATAAATATAAATGTATGAATTTACTTACTTTAATAGTATAAAATCTTGCTCTACATAATGGGCAAGTATTTTTGATTTTATGCCATGTATCCATGCAATCAATACAGAATTTGTGATTGCAGTCAATGGTGGCAATGCTTTCGGTCTCCATATTTTCAAGGCAAATGTAGCATTTATTATCTTCTTCTTTTTGTTCTTCTTGTTCCTCTTGTTCTTGTTCCTTTTCCATTCTTTCCTTTTCTAATTGTTCTTTTTTTATACGGTCCTCTTCTTCTATCTTTTCTAATCTTTCTTTTTCTTCACGTTCTTTTTCTTCACGCTCTTTTTCTATTCTTTCCAATTCTACCTTTTCCCTTTCCAATCTTTCCATCTCTAAACGTTCCTTTTCTTTTTGAACCCTTTTTAATTCTTCTTCATCTTCATATCTATGTCTTTTTTTGGTTCCCATTTTAATTTCTAAATCTTCTTCATCAGACTCTAATGATCTCTTCTTCATTGGAGTGTTACTAGCTGAAGTTGGGACACCTGTTGAATTGAAAGCTGGTGATGAATTTGGTGGATTTGGATCAACAGCGTTACGAGAATGTGCTCTATTAAATGCTGGGTAGTTCTGAGCACTTGAAGATGAATCGGTTGTTTGTGGGTTTTGTTGTGGTTGAGTGGTTGTTGGAACATTAGCAGCGGTACGAGAATGTGCTCTATTAAATGTTGGGTAGCTCTGAGCACTTGATGATGAGTGAGTTGGTTGTGGGTGTTGTTGTGGTTGAGTGGTTGGTGGAGAATTGGCAGCAGCAGTATAACGAGAATGTGCTCTATTTAATGTTGGGTAGCTATGAGCACTTGATGATGAATGAGTTGGTTGTGGATGTTGTTGTGGTTGAGTGGTTGGTGGAACATTGGCACCGGCAGTATAACGAGAATGTGCTCTGTTTAATGTTGGGTAGCTATGAGCACTTGGGGATGAATGAGTTGGTTGTGGGTGTTGTTGTGGTTCAGTAGTTGGTGGAGCATCAACAGCGGTACGAGAATGTGCTCTATTTAATGATGGGTAGTTCTGAGCACTTGAAGATGGTTGTTGGCGTTGTTGTGGTTGAGTGGTTGTTTGAGAATAAGCACTGGCAGTATAACGTGATTGATTTATATCAAATGATGGGTAATGGCTGGCTTGTCCCCTTGAATATGGAAATTGTTGTGGGTTTTGAGAGCTTTGTTGTGATTGTTGTTCTTGTTCTGGCTCTTCTTCTTCTTCTTCTTGTTGTCGTTCATATTCATCAAGATCTTTAAATAATTTTCTAATGCCTGGGGTTGATACAGTGCTTTTTTGTTGTGATTGTGGCTGTGATGGCGATTGTGGCTGTGGTAGTTGTGGTTGTGGATTTGAAAATTGATGCTGTTGATTTTGTTGTTGTTGTTGTTGTTGTTGTTGTTGTTGTAGAATTTGTTGTATATCTACTGGGGCAGTATTGTGGGCTGGTGAGTTTTGATTTTGGTGGTTGTTGTTATTGTTGTTGTTATTGTTGCTGGAGAAACCATCGTTGTTGTTATTATTATTGTTATTGTTGTTGAATAAATTTTTATTTACATAAAAACTGAGTAATAAACCGATGGTTGCAACAATAAATAAATATAAAATTTCTAAATAATTCATTTTATATTAAACTATTTTTATTAAATAATAGTGATGTGAAAGGTGATTTGTGAGCTATTATTTATTGATAGTTGTAATTATTTAATTAATATAAAATGATATTGATGTTATTAAATTTTATTATTGTATTTGTTATTATATAAAAGTTATATGTAAAAAATTATTTATATGTAAATAAAATTTTAAAGAAAAAAAATTAAAAAAAAAAATTTCTTTTGGAATGAAAATTAAAAAAAAAACATTAAATTAAATTTTAAACTTTAAATTTCAAAAAAAAAAAAAAAAAAAAATTTTGAAATTTTTATAAAAAAATGAGGTTTCCCACACAAGGTTTTTTAATAGTGGTATGAATTAAACAGTGGGTCCGCAAAAGGAAAAAGTAAATACATAATTTACGAACATCATGATTTTCAAAAAAAAAATTTATTATTTTAAGCATGGATTTTAATTTGATACTGGACAACTTTAATTTAACATATTTATTACAATTACAAATCAAATAATATTTTGCATTATATTTGATTTCTAAAAAGTTGGTGGGTGTATTTAATATAAATTGGGTAATTAAAATAAATTAAAAAAAAAAAGAAATGAATTATTTTTATAATTATTTTGAAAAAAAAAAAAAAAAAAAAATAAATCAACTACCACTTCTATCTCTGATAAATGTTTTTTTAAAATATGTTTATCTTTATAATATTTCATTATATATATTTATTTAATTTTTTACATTGTCATCTTTTTATTTTTTAAAAAATATTGTATTTAAATAATTTATAAAAAAAAAAAAAAAATTAATTTTTTTTGTTTTTTTTTGACTATTTAAAAAAGCAATAACATATATATATAAATTACTGTATACATAATGTAAAATAATCAATGAAACTTTAATAGTTGTGTATATCATATAATGTAATAACTATTTAAAATGAAGAGATTAAAGATATCAATAGCAAAAAAGAAACAATATTGAATTCAAATGATTAAAAAAAAATCTCATATTTTAGAGAGGGAATTCAAAAATTATAAAATCAAAAAAGAAGAAGAAGAAATAAAAAGGCTTGGTGAATCGAATAACGAAATTTTTGAAATTGGTCACAGCAAAATAAGGGATCTTATGATGGAAATTGATTTACTCAAAGAGTCAGGTGCCGGCCAATGTAAGCAATACGAATCAATACTAAACGAATACCAAAACACTCTAAACGAATATCATGATTTAGTCAAAATATTTAGAGAAGAGAATGAAAAAATCAAAACCAACCAAAAAGATGAATAAAGGATGCATTATTGCTTCATTCAGATAACTGCAATTCCAAAGACAACTATTCAGATGAAGCTTTTAAAAAACTATTGTCGACAAACTTTTTAAATAAATAATAAACTATATTTATTTAATTAAATTTTGATATAAGTAATAAAAAAGCAAATTTTTTAAAATCTTTTATTTTTATTTAATTTTATTAATTTGAATTTAATTCAAACATTTTTAAATCTATTTTATTATATCCAACACTGATTCTAATTTGGGTATTTTGTGGTGATAATGATTTCATAAAATTGCAAATTAGTGTGACATGAACCAAACGAAGTATTTGTAATTATATTATTTTCTTCAAGTTGCATGACCAGCCACACTGTTTCCTTTTTCATTACACACTGTTTAAAATTTTTTTAAAAAATGTTAAATTTACTTTTTTTTTTAATTTTCTTTCATTAAAAAGTTTTTTATTTTTTTTTTTATTATTTTTTTTTTTACTTTATTTTATATACATACAAATAATTATACATTTTTATTTTTCATTATAATATTTGGCACATATAATAATTTTTAATAATAACAATAATAATATATTATATAAAATAATTTACAATTTAATTTATTTAAAATAGATTTATTACTTGTTTTTTACATTTTATGTGGTATCACTAGTTTCTCATTAGCATTTTTTATTAATAACAAAAAATACAATAACTATAATAATAACAATTACAATAGCAATAACATTAGAAACAACAATAATAGCACCCACACCCAAGACCCACACCCAATCAACAATGATTTAACTGTACAATTAACCCCATCAGCATCTGCCTCTGCCTCTGCACCATCTGCATCTGCCTCTGCACCATAAGCATCTGCCTCTGCACCATAAGCATCTGCCTCTGCACCATCTGCATCTGTATCAGCATCATATGCACCTGCTTCATCTGTATCAGCACCATCTGCATCAGAATCTGTATCATTAGCATCAGAACCACCAGCATCAGAACCATCTGCATCAGCACCATCGGCATCAGCACCATTTGCATCAGCATCAGTATCAGCATCATCTGCACCAGTATCTGCCTCTGCACCATCAGCATCAGCCTCTACCTCTGGACCATCAGCATCAGCCTATGCACAATCACCATTGGGGTTAATTGTACAGTTAAATCATTGTTGATTGGGTGTGGGTCTTGGGTGTGGGTGCTATTATTGTTGTTTCTAATGTTATTGCTATTGTAATTGTTATTATTATAGTTATTGTATTTTTTGTTATTAATAAAAAATGCTAATGAGAAACTAGTGATACCACATAAAATGTAAATCGTCCATCAACTATTCAACCTATGCCAATAGATGCAATCAAAATATTTCATTAAAAAAAAAAAAAAAAATACACATATAAATAAATATCTACAGATATAACTAAATAATTTCCTTCTATGAAAAATTCAGGTATCTTTCTTTTTATAATTATTTTTTGGTGTCTTTGTCTATATAACATTTTGTTAATAAATTTTTCATCATACATACTTATATATAAATAAAATTATATAAATAAATAAATAAATAAAATAATTAACAAAAGTTTTAAAATTAAATTAAATATCTTTTATTTTACAAGTTTTTTATTTTATATTTGATTATTAATTATTGTATCTTTCAGTTTTACATTGAAAAAGCCTCTTTGAATATTAATTTCTTTTATTGGTAATTGATTTGATGATAAATAGTTTATTATATTATTGTATTCGCCATTTTCGATTGAATGTAATGTTAGGGAGTATAAGTCTATATCTTTTTGTTTTATCTGAATAAGTTTTAAAATATCGATATTACTGATTTTAGCATTATGACTTGAAAGGGTAAGGTTTCTGATTCTTTTATTTATTGGTAAAACTTGTGTAATTATTTGATCAATATTTTTTGTGTTTATAAGTGATAAGGTTGAGATTGTTTTGTTTTGAGATAATGCATCTAGAAATATACCATCGACAAACCCGAAACCTTCAAGGCATAGTGTTTTGATTGGGCATGTTGGACTTGTTAAAATTTTTTTAAATCCACGACTAATAGGGTCCCTTTTTTTAATTTGGCTTTTTCCTGCTAGAAGAAGTTTAAATTCCTTAATGGTTTTGTTATTCGATAATTTCTCCACCATTTGACTCCAGTTCTCGGATGACTGTGCTCTGAGTGTTATAACTTTACCCAAATCCATAATAAAATCTATTGATTTCAAGACTGTTATATCATTGTTTAGTTCTGCTAAATCTTTTGGCTCTATTGGTCTTTTAATGACTATATATTTTAATGTATTGTTGTTCAATAGTGCTGATATATTGTAGGTTTTATGTGTATCTGAATATATAATTCTTTTTGCACCTAAATGAATGAGTTGGTTCATAAAATCTTGTTTGGAATCTTGTGTAATATCGCTATTGGCATTTACTTGATAAACTATATTTTGATCAAATACATCATAGTATTTATGAATCGTCTTTGGGGTAACTTCGAAACAAACTTTGGTTTTTGGATACCATTCATCGGTTGGATTTAGTGGTGGAAAGCTACCATCCCAATCTAAATTTGTAAGCAATATCTTTCTATATTGGTTTATAGAGTCGTTATTTACATCTTTTCCATACGAGTCATAAATGATTGGATAGGGTTCTTTGGGTGCATCATAGACACCAATCGAGTTTTCTAATCTAATTAAAGAGTAGTTGTTTATAGTTTTTGATTTATTGATAAATGGTTCTAAAATATAATAGTTTTTGTATTTTAAAATAGTATTTGTTAAAATACCAGATACATATTCGAACCAGTTTTTTGAAACTAAAGAATATTTTATGGTTTCATTCCTTTTTGATATATATAGGTTTTTTTGTGTTTTTAAATTAATGTGAAGGTTTGATTTATTTTTTGAACTAAATAAATGATTTAATATTAAAATTATAATATCTTTATATAAAATAATTGGAAGTTGTGTCATAAATATAAGCTAGCTATGTTATTATTTTGATTTGATTTGATTTTTAAAAAATAATAAAAATAAAAAATAAATTAATTTGTTTTTATATTTAAAAAAATTTTTGCTAAAATTTTATTAAAAAAAAAAAAAAAAATAGAAATTTTCTTGATAATATTCCATTAATTATTCTCAAATAATGATGATTACTTTAAAATCCAAGTTTTAAAAAATTATTCAAATAAATATTAATTAAACTCATTTTTTAAGAAAACGAATTCTGTATTTCTGGTTCCATTTCTTTATATGCACCAGTTTTTTTAAAATATTAATTTTATTTTTTTTTTTAATTTCAATTCCCACACAAAAATTAAATTTAATTTTATCTTTTCGATAGGTTATTAAATAAATTTCAATTTTGGTCATGACAAAAATTAAAAGATTTTAATTATAAAAAAAAAAAAACATTTAATCTTTTTATATATAAATAGTAAAAGATGCCATATAAAAAAAAAAAGATTTGTTTATAATAATAATTATTGAATTTTTTAATTAATTAATTTTTTGATTTTATTTTTTTAATTTTTTATTTAAATTTTTTTTTCTTTTTTTTTGAAGTGGAAAAAAAAGATTCTATTTTATAATTTAATTTTTTTATTATATATCTTTTTTTTTCTTTTTTTTTAAAAAAAATAATATAATGGTTGTATTGCAAATAGTAAATACATTTATAATGATATTACTTTTATTAGTAACTATATTAGTAATTAAGGTAAATTATTTAAATAATAAGGATTCATTTTTCATTTTTTTAATGAGTTTTTTTTTATAGGATTTAGTTTATCTAGATAAAAAGAAAAGATTAAATCAATTAATACCAGGTCCTAAAGGAGTCCCTATATTTGGAAATTTATTACAAATTAATGTTAAAGATGTACCAGCAAATTTAGATGAGTTATATAAAAAATATGGTTCAATATTTAGGTTAAGATTAGGTAATGTAGAAACAGTAGTTTTAACAGGTGGCAGTATTATGGAAGAAAGTTTTATAAAGAATTGGAAACTATTTGAGAATAGATATATTAGAATGAGTAGATATTTTGCAAAAGATTTGGAAATATTATTTTCAAATGGAGATTATCATAAGAAATTAAAAAATATTTTAATTGGGGAAATCACAACAAGAAAATTAACTAATGGAAATAGTTTATTTAATGTAAATAAAAATGTTGGGGATATGATGAAAAAAATCTACAAAGATGATAAAACAGTTGTAGAAAATCTTCCATTTTACATAAAAGGATTTATATTAAAGATAATACTTGAATTTACTTTTGGAAGAGAAGAGGATGACGAAAAAATTTCAAAAATGATTGTTATAGTTTCAAGGTTATTTCAAACAGCTGGTCAGTTTATATATTCAGATTATGTTCCTTTAATGATACCAATCGATTTAATTAACACCAGCAAAAGTAGTATATTATCTGATTTCTTTTATTTTAGAAATTATTCAAATAACATTTTAGAAAAATTAAATAACAATAAAAGTAATAATTTTGATAATGATGAAACAATTCAAACAAATAAGCCTCTAATAGAGTATTACTATGATATGTATTTACAAGGGGAAATAAAATATGAATCAGTTTTATTCTCAGCTTCAGATGTAATTGTAGCTGGTTTAGATACAACATCAAATACATTATCATTTTTTATAGTAGCACTAATTAATAATCCACATATTCAAGAAAAAATATTTGAAGAAATTAGAAATAATAATACAAGTGACGATATTACTTATTCAGATCAAACAAAATATCCATACACCAATGCAGTACTTAGGGGTAAAGATAAAATAACATTTAAAAAAAAACAATTTTTTTTTATTAACTGTGGATTTAATTTTTTTATAGAGACACACAGATATTTTTCAGTAGTGCCAATCCCTGAACCATTCGTAACATCAGATGATGTGGAAATTAATGGTTACAAAATTGCAAAGGGTACCCAAATTATAAAGAATCTTGGTAGCACTCATTTATCCGAAGAGTTTTGGGAGGATCCACTAATATTTAAACCGGAAAGATTTTTGACTGAAGAAAAAAAAAAGATATATCATTTTGGTGTAGGAAAAAGAGTTTGTCCCGGTAATTCTTTTGGCACAATTATTTTATTTTTATCAGCTGTTTTATTAGTAAAAAATTTTATTTTCGTTAACCCCAGCCCACACAAACCAATTAATGAAAAAGGGCTGGTAGGTTTAGTTTCCCAATGTAGAGATTTTAATGTTATTCTTAAAAAACGTCAATAAAATTATATTTTATTTTAAATTACAAATTATTTTATTATTTATTAATATAAAATAAACTGTTTTTTTTATAAAAGTATATGTTGGTGGGGTATTATATTTTAAAGAAACTATCATCTATGTGTAATTATTTATTATTAAATTAAAAGTTTTTAAACCTTTATTCTTTTTTTTTCTTTTTTATTTAATTTTAAAATATCATTTCTTATTTTTTTTTTATAACTAGTTCAATTAAAAATGTTTATAAATTTAATAAATACTCTTTTATCTTTAGTTTTTTATTTACTTATTACATTTAAAATTTTATTATATTTATACATAAACAATGGACCATTTTTATTATCATATCACCAATTTATTTTTAATTTACAAATTCCTTATGACAATATTTTTATATATTGTGATTTAATATTATTATATATATTTAAATAGTTGTGGTAGTGGTAGTGGTGGGATATGTAGATTGTACATTTTAAATATACTACTTACTTTTGTAACTGTGTAAATTATTTTATTACCATAATTATATAAAATTTTATTAAATAAAATATTTGGGAGGTGTGGGTAAAGGAAAATTTAATATAATAAAAAAAAACAAAAATAAGTGGGGGTTGTGTGTGTCTTTGTCTTTGTCTGTGTGAGTGTTCAAGTATATTTTTAATTTAGATTTTCATTATTTGTTAAATAAAAAATAAAAAAATAAAATAATTGTATCCGAGTAATAAATAAATTTAATTTAATTAAAATTAATATTTTTTGATTTATTTTTTTATTTTTAAAACATTTTTATTATTTTTAATTTATAATACAATTATTAGTAATGATAATATTAAATAAATTGAAAAAATAATTAATAAAAAAGGATATTTTTAATTATAAATCAAATATTGTATGTGTTTGATTAAAATTTATATATATTTATAAATATTTTTGTTTTTTTTATAATATTATATCTAAAAAATAATTGATGAAATGAATGAAAAATCATGTCATTTTTATTTTTTAATATCAGTTTTAGTATTAATAATAAGTTTTATAAATACAAATTCTGATTCAGAATATTTATTAAATGTTAAAACTTATAATTATACTGTGACCAAAAACAAAGATGTAGAAGACCCACCTATACTATTTCAAAAAACCGAATACCTCTTTACCGATGAATATATAGATATCGAAACTTTAACCTATAATCACTCTGTACAATTACATTTAAAAACCAATAACAAAAACAACCACTCTCTTTCAGAAACTCAAAATGAAATCACTTTTTTCAACACCACTAAAACCAATCAATACCATAGAATATATTATAATAATAATTCACCCCTTTATAAATTTTATAAAAATTTTTTTACCATTTTCAAAGCATATATAATTCTCACGTTTTTATTATTCATAGTGGGGGTAGTATTCCATTTTGTAAATGTAACCGACTATAAAAATGAAAAGCGCAGAAAAGTGGCACAGTCCATAGTAAAGTTTGTTCTAATAATAATACTCCTCACGATGATCGGTTTCAGTATATATATAATAATGGGCTCAAAAGATTATTTAAAGAAAGCAATCAGAGAACAAATGAAACAGTCCAATATCTTAAAAATAATATGTGTCGATGATATGGACGAAAATTATATCGGTATCTGTCAAGATGGAAATGGAGAAGTTGCAAAGAAACTGAGAGTTCATCATATTGATTATTTAAAAAATTACAATTTTTTTATTTTGGTAAGTTATTAAAATTTTTTTTTTTTTTTATAATCAACAATTTATTAATATTTTATTTTTTAAAATAGGAAAAATATGAAATTAAAAACACACCTTTTTATTATAAATCTTGGTTATTTGGTGGTTTAACACTCTTAATCGCAATATTTGTATCATTTTTATTTGGATTGTCAAATTCAAAAATTAAAAAAAAAATAATCAACCATCCAGATGATAAATTGTAAAAATAAAATTAATTTTATTATATCATATAATTTATATGATAAAAACTAGCTATTAATTATAAGCAAGTAATTTTAATCATAAAAAAAAGAAATAATAGTTAAATTTTTATATTTATTTGTTTTATAATGGGGGTTATTAAAATAAATTTTATTTTAATTATATTTTATTTATAAGATTTTAAAAATAATCAAATATTTTAATTTTACTAGTTTGAATTATTACCCCATTAGCATAACTATTTTTTTTGGTATAATAATATTTTTCTTTTCTTTTAAATTGAATATTGCAGTTAAGAGCAACTACAGGAAATGTTCAATAATGTTAATATTCTTTGTTTTATTTATTTTTAATATTATGGTACATTTTGTATTATCTGTAATAAATCTATTAACAACTTTTTTTGTGTTTAAAAAAAAAAAATTAAATCAAAAACAAATAAACAAATAATTTATTTTTTTATTGGTTTTTTTATTTTTTTTTAATAAATAATAATTATAATAATATTTTTTATTTTCAAATTTTTAATTTTTTTAATTATTTATATCATTCATTTTTCATTTTCATTTTCATTTTTTCATTAGATTAATTATTTTAAATAAGAAATAAAATAATTATTTTTAAAAATAAAGAAATGAAAGTAATTGTTATTTTTATAATTTTAATTCAAATACATGCAATTTTATCATATGATCTATGCTTTTCAAACCCAAAGAAATTGCCAATAGGATCCAAATGTCAACATCACAGTGATTGCCAGTTACCATTGTTTTGCGGCTCAAGTGGAACATGTAGTAAACCAATTGACAATGACAATGATAAATGTAATGATAATAGAGAGTGTGGTCCATACCGTGTTTGTCAAAATTCCCACTGTAAAGATATTTTAAATGTAGGTGAAGCTTGTGACGATAAAAGTTACTGTAGCTCATCATCATGTATTAATGGAAAATGTGCAATAGATGATAGAGACTGTTGTATTAGTCAAGAAACCTGTAGATTCAATCAGTATTGTTCAATGGCCTCCAACGAAGCTAAAAATGCAACTGGTAAATGTAAACCTGTAGGATCAGAAGGTTCAAAATGTACCATAGACAATCAATGCCCAATTACCCATTTCTGTGTTGATGGCCAATGTATTAAAAAGTATTCCAAACCATTAGCTGCTACATGTAAGTCATCAAGAGAATGCAGTGTTTTCAAAGGACATATCTGCGATGCCAAAACAAATAAATGCGTAGTTTACAAAGAGTTTTTAAAGAATTGTTCAAGCACAAGTGAATGTGGTACCGGTATGTGTATGTGCAAAAGTGAAGGCGATAATGTTTGCGTCGATGTACAAGTTGGTGCATTGAAATCAGATAACTGTTTAAGCTATTTAGATTCATTCGCAAGTTGTATGAAGAGAGAAGGTTGCCTACATAATACTCCACACTGTCCCAAATGTTTCTCGATCTGGATGTCCTATCAATATGAATGTTTCTACATTAATCAATTCTATAGATCTGGTTCTGAATATTACAAATCATTCTGGTTACAACAACCACAAAAAAAGTTACCAATCCAACAAAAACAATAATAGTCCAAATTATTAATTAAAATTTAAATAAAAGTAATACTACTTTTGTAACTTATTTGTTTTAAATATAAATAAATTAATTTATATATGTTTTATTATTATAATTTATATTATTATTATTATTGTTATTATAATGATTACTATTGTTTATTATTTAGTATGATTGATGTTTATTTAAATATTTAGATACAGCTGGTTTTAATAATTTTGATAATTCATCAAAAAGTAAACATACACCAAAACCTACTGTTATAATCGAGATGATTAAAGTTGAAATGAAACAATCTAAATAATCTTTATATTGCCAGAAATTTAAATTAAAAATCCACATTAATACAATTGATTTTTGTGCTAAAATTCTAAAAATCCAACTCTTTAATTCCATGCTATCTGGGATAATGTTGCTATTGTTGTTGTTGCTATTGTTGTTACTATTATTTGAAATTGAAATTACATTTGAAGATGATTGCGATGAAATATCTTGGTGACTATATGATTTTGAAAGTCTAATTAAAAAGGTAATTAAAATGAAAAAGTAACCTAGTTTATGGAAAACCATTAAGAAACCACTAACTGTTGGATAATCTTCCATATTTAACAAACCGATATTACCAGCCCTAACATCGACATTCATATTAAACTGACCACCCATAAACATGTAGGATCTGAATGAAAGGGTTACCATGAACAATACAATCATACGTGACAATGATTTAAGTTTGCCATTGAAGGAGCTAGTTTGAAGACCTAAACGCCATGAGCTAACACTTGAACAATAGGTATTTGATAAGAGATAAAGTTGTGGACCAAAGAAAGCGAGTAAATAGAATCTTTGATTTTCGGTACTAACAGCAAACAAAAGTAAATTTGAAACAATAAAGGCATCATCGACAAAGTTGCCAAGAGCAATTAACGAGAGGACTTGTAATACCATTATAAAATAGGCTAACTGCATTACAGAGGGCATAGTGTGGCCAGTAAAGTCATATAAAAAGAACAAATGTGCGATAAAATAATAAACACCACCACTCTTTAAAAATATCATTTTGGATTGTGCTGAATTTAAAACATTGATTGGGTTATTGCTAATTATTAGATTTGAAATCGAAAATCCACCGCCATTTGAACTGGATTGAAGAAGTTGGGTCTTTGAAAGTATTAATAAATAGAGTAGATAGAATAGTAAAACGTAGTTTATAATGAATCTGAATGATTCAAACATTTCGTATAACATTGGTAAAAATTCTATAACAAAATTACCAGATACAAATGTAAACATTATAAAACAAATATTAAAAAATAATGTTTGTAACCAATCTAAATCTATATTATTAATAACGATTTGCTGCTGTTGTTGGTAAAGTTGCTGATCTTGTAAGAACTGTTGTTGTTGCAATTGAATTTGCTCTTGGCTCTTTTGAATATCTTTTTGATGTTCAATGTTATACTGTTCTAACTGTTGTAGCTGTATTAAATCATCTGGGTTTATGGGTTGTACAGGTATCATTTGAATTGATTGTTGGTTTGGTGATTGGTCATCTTTATTATTTTCTTTATTTTGATCTTCTTTTTGAACTCTGTCTAAATGATTTTGATTAATATTTTCATCATCTAATTGTTGATTTGCTTGTTGTTGCTGTATGGTTTGTGGTAATTGTTGATTTTGTAAACCTGGTTGACCTTGAATATCTTGTTGATTTGGTGTAACTGAGATATCCATTTCATTAAATTCGTTTAATGAATCACTATTATTATTGTTATTATTATTATTATTATTATTGTTATCAATATCCTCGTTATATAATAAATTATTTATATCATTACTGTATTTTTCTAAATTTAAATTATAAATTAAATATAATATTATTATTGGTATTATTATTAAATAAAATATGAATGTATTTGTAAAGTGTTTGTGATAATCGAATTTTAAAAATAAGAAATCGATATAAATATAAAAATATGGCAATATTGTTGGTAAGAAATTATTTTTTAACATTAAAATTAAATCGCTTTGTGTAATTTCAATATTTAAATTTATAAGCTAAAATAAAAATAAAAAGAGATTAGTAAAACAATATAATAAATATAAATATTGAAATAATAACTTACTTGAATAACAAAAATTAAAAAGCCAATTATAATTAAATAATTAGTTGGAAATTTTTTAAATTCTACCATCGGTTCTTTAATATTGATAATAAATTTCTTTAAGTCTTCAATTTTTTGAGATAACTGCTGTGGACCAATGTCCATTATTGAAGTACCTAAACTTATTGCTTTTTCAAAATCGCTTTCTTTGTATGGGAAGTTTTTGAGTCTGCAAAGTTCTCTAATTTGAATGGCATTGTTTAAGAGGTCAATATAAATTGAGGTTTTATTTGCAACACTGTCGTCATGATGAGCTGTAGAAACTAAACCTAAAGATTCCAATGGAATGTTAACATCCTTAAAGTAACGAACAATAGTTGGAGCTAAATCGACAGTATCTAACCAGGGTCTGTTAAAGTTTTCAGAGTGTGATTTGAGGAATTGATTAAAAAATAAAAAGAAACCTTCATTGCCACCATCTTTAGCACCATGGAGCTCACCTTCATGTTGACCACCAGTCTTACTACCACCATGGTCACTATTTAAAATAAAAATATAGTCAGGATGAGCAGCTAACCATTTCTTTACGAGAGGTATATTTTTTTGGAAATTGGATAATAGTTGAAGTGTTGGTGGATGAGTCTTTCCATTACGGTGAATTTTATCATCCAAAAGATTAGTTGTTAACATTACACTCTTTTTTCCACCAGATGAAAGTGAATCTAATTTCTCGTATACACTATCTTCAGAAGGGTGGTGGGTTCTAATATCGCCAAATAATTGAGTAAACAATTGACTTTCATCAGGGACAATTGTATACTGATCGAAATATCTACGAATTGATGGTGAGTCGGCTAAAAGAGCAGGTGCAGGAAATTCTGGACCAACGAAATGCATTTTGAAACCACTTGTTTTAAATTGATAGAATATATTATCGGAACGGATTGGTTTACCAGCATAGTTGGTAGGTATTTTACCAGTAAAGAATGTAGTGTAAATTGCAGTTGAAAATTTGAAACCATGAGTTAAAACTCTATATACATCGGAGGTTTCTTTAAATGGCTCTATAATATCGTAAGCTTGATCATGTGCTAAACTATCAACAAATATCCAAATGAATTTCTTGAATTTTGGGTGGTCTTTATTTAAATATTCATTACACAGTATTGACTTGTCGATTCTACCGTTGAATAAAACATTGTCAGAAGAAAATACATCTTGAAATTCGGGTGATCTAATATAGGAATCTTTGGGAACACATAAATTATTTCTGTATCTTATTAATGTTGAATCACTGTCGTCAGTTCTTTGAAATTTGTTTAATGTGTGTTGTAACAATAAAAATAATACCAATACTTGAAAAACAAATTGTAGCTTTCTGTATTTACTTTGGTTGAATCGTTTATAGTATCTCTTTACCAATATTACATATTTATGGTTGCTGATAAACTGTGGTAATGCAATTTGTGCGTATAATTTGCTTAGGTATCCACCTCTACTAATGAAACCATTTTTATTTACACCATTGTTATTACTATTATAGTTATTATTATTGTTATTATTTCTACTATTTCTATTATTTGTAAAACTATAATTATTTTTATTATTAAACCCTAATCTTGAAAATTTACTACCTCTATTTCTAGAATATAAATCATTATTATAATTCATATTTTTTTAAATCAATATAATTTTAATTAAAAAAATTTTAAAAAAAATTTTTATTTTTTTATTTTAAAAAAATAAAATATAAAAGTAAATTAATTTTTCATAAATATAAATTATGGTTTATTTATTATTTTTATTATTATTACTATTTATTATTATAAATATAATTATGTCGAAGGTAATATTTTAAAAATTAAAAAAAAAATAAAAAATTTTTGATATCGTTTTTTCAAAATTTTAAAAAAAAATTAAAAATAAAATAAAAATAAAAAATAAAAATTATTTAAAAAAAAATTATCTAAAAAAGAAAATGGTTAACCAGATACATCCAGTTAGCTAAATATATTATATATTTTTATAAAGTTTGTTTTTATAAAGATAATTCTATTTAATATTTTTGTGGGTAATTTATTTAACTACAAATTATTATTATTTGAAATTTTGTTTAAACTTCAAAATAAGATACAAAGACTAGTGCCGGTTATTCGGTTTCTGCCGCACCCCCAATTCATATCTTGGAGAAGAGCATCATCGTTTTAGAATCTAATAAGAATTCCATTAATAATGAAACTAGTGCAGAAAAATTGATTTTCAAAGTTATCAAAAGAAATCCTTCAATGGATAAAATTTTTCAAAATTATTTAAAAAGGGTTTAGATGTCACCTATTTTAAAAAATGTATACAAAATACATAATGGTCTTTTTTTTCTATTTTTATTTGTTTATTAGTAATATTGGTATTTTGGCGGTTAAGTTCAACCAAAAGATTATTTGAAAAAAGTTTTAAAAATTAAAAAAAAAATTTTAATTTTTTTTTTTAAAATTTTTTTATTTTTTTATTTTTTTTACATTTTTATTTAATTCTATTTTTTCTTTAATTCTATTTTTTATCTTTAAACAAAAAAAAAAAAAACAAAAAAAAAAATGAGTGGTGATTATAAACCTAACTACAAATCGTCACCAGGTAGAAAAAGGGCAGTTATAGCAAATAAAGATCAACCCTCAATCTACAGATACCAAACACCATCACAAGTTAATTATAGTAATACTAGCGGTATTGCTAATAATCATAATAGCAATATTTTAAATGATGTAACAAAATATTATAATAATCAATCTAACATTAGAAATCGAACAACCACTACCACCACCACTACTCAGCAAACCAATGTATATAATAATAGAAACACTAATAACAATATCCATATGAACGATAGCGATATTGAAGATGATGAAGATATAACATATTCAGATAACAGTAGAAATTTAGACTATTCAAATGAAGATTACAATTCTGGTAATAATCCACGTAAATTAAAAGAATCCTTATTATTACTGCAACAACAACAGCAACAGCAACAACAACTATTGCAACAACAACAACAACAGCAACAACAATTAAATCATCAACAACAAGGTCAAAATCTACTTCAAAACTTCCAAGCACCCCAATCACAAACTACAACACAACAACAACAACAACAACAACTACAACAACAACAACAAAATAAAGCCAATACTCAACAAAGAAATTTAACTCAACAACAACAAAATAGGAACCAATCAAAAAATATTTTTCAAAAGCTTCATGATTTATATTATAATAGTATAAATACAATTTCTACAGTATGGCCATTTGACACCACAGAATCAAATAGGAACAACCCTCGTACAAAAATAAAAACATTTGTTTGGATTGTTATTATTGCATCAATGGCGGTATTGGGTCTCATTGGGTTTTTTGCAACTAGATATCATGGTGTTAACATATATTTACCAAATTCAACATCACCATCAAAAACTATAGAAAATACAATTACAAAAGAACAATTAATTCCAATGTTAGAAGATTATTTTAGTAAGTAATTTTATATTATATTATTTATATTAAATTAATAAATACTAATTATAAATTTTTTAGAACAATCAAAAATATTCAGTAAATTAGAATTAAAAATTAATGAATTATCAAATACAAATAATAAAGAAAATCAAGAAATTATTAGAGAATTAAAAGATGATATCAATTTAATTAAATTAAGTAGCATGGATGAAGATAGAGTTAATAAATTGGTTGTAAAAATGATTGATCATTATAACGATAATGAAAATAACAAAAAAGAATTAAGACAGGTTTTAGAAAAAGCAATTAATGAATTTAATCAATTAGAAAAAGAGAAATTAGAAAGATATGAAAATAAAGCAAGCGAATCATTGGGTATATATGAAAGTAAAGCAAGCGAATCATTACATATCTATGAAAGTAAAGCAGGTGAATCATTAAACAAACTTTCAACACAATCAAATGATCAAATCAAACTATTTACCACTCAACTCGAAGGTACAGTTGGCAAGAAATTAGAAGAATTAGAAAAAAAATCCAAACAACAACTCTCACAACTTGGCCAAGAGTCCAAAGCCTTAATTGATCAACAATCAGAGCAATTGAAACAATACCAACTTGAATTAGACACCAATGGAAAAGAAAAAGTCAAGCAACTATTAAACGAATATCAATCATTAGAAAAGAGTTTGAAAGAGTTTACTGGTAAACTTGAAAATGAACTTTCATCAAGCATTCAAACACTAATTTCAGATCAAAAGAAATCCATCACATCAGAGTTCCAAAAACAAACATCTGATCAATCAAATATGATCAATAGCCAATCTAACCATCTCACTGCTCAATACACCCAAATCACCAACCAATTTTCAAAGATTCAAAATTTCATTGAAAGCAATCCATCAATCGAATCTATTCACAAGACAATCTCCACACTTGAAGGCATCAGAGAACTCATTGACGACATTTTAGAAGTTTATAGTGCCGATAAAATTGCTAAAGTAGATTATGCTTTACTTGAATCTGGCTCATCAATTGAATACTTTGCCACTCATTATAAAGTTTCAAAAAGCTATCCAACTAATAGACAAGAACAACATCAACAACAACAACAAGAAAAAACAAAGAATATTATTAATGAGTTATCAAATACTGCAACTGATTTATTTAATATAGCATCCAATTGGATACTCCCAAAAACAAAAGTTAATGAAGCACATACCATTTTAGAACCAACTGTTAATACTGGTTCGTGCTGGGCTTTTTATGGTCAACAAGGCACTGTTGTTATTCGTTTATCTAAAAGAATCAAAGTTAACGAAGTTTCTATGGAACATATAAATCCTCTTATTTCACATCATATCGAATCTGCACCCAAACAATTCCAGGTTATTGGTCTCGTTAACTCTACCGACATTGGAACCGATCTCGGTACATTTACTTATAACACCACTATCAATAGACATATACAAACCTTTAAAGTAGTAGAAACTGAAGAAGAGTTTAGTCATATCGTATTAAATGTTCTCTCAAACTATGGTTATAAATACACCTGTATTTATAGATTCCGTGTACATGGTATTCAAGTTGAACATCCAGAATTAGAACAACTTGTAGATATTGAACATCAACACTCTGATCAATTGATTAAAGATATTGAAAAGTCAATTGAAATTGAAAACCAACAAAAACAGAACTCTCAAGATTTATAAAAAAAAAAAAAAAAAATAAACAAATAACAAATAAATAAAAAAAAACAAAATATTCATATTTATTAATTTGATATGCTGTGATTAATAATTTTTATATCTTTTTTATTTATATAATATTTATATATTTTTATTAATAAAACATAAGAGTATGTAATATTTGTCTTTGAGTCGATTTATAAAAGTTTTCTAAAATATCATTTAATTTATCCTCCCAATCTTCGGTGTTTTCAATAATTGAAGTAATTTCTAATGCATGTTGGGCACCACCTACAGCTTCTTCGTGTGTATCTTTAACTTGTAAATTTATAATGTGTACCGGTTGCATTAGGGTGGTGATATCTCTTTGAGCCAAATCGTCAATTACAGCATCGTACACTCTTTGATCAAAAGTAAAAACTATATCAAATTTAGCGTTTAATTCCTCTTGCCATTTTTCTGGTGCCAACTTTACCTTTTTATTCCTTTCTAGCATATTTAATAAACCATTTTTAATATATAATTCTTGATCTTGGTCTCTTAAAGTTGTATAAATTTCTGAATATGGTGTACCAAATGAAAATATATTGGGTTGGTGTATTGATGGACCTGGTAATTTACAATGTCCTGATGTTCCAAATGATCTAATATTCTTGAATCCGGTTTTAACAAATAGATAGTGTGCCTCCAAGCTTCTATTCTGATTACTAGCACATACCATCGCTATTTTTTTAGTACATTGATTAGCTATATTGAAATATTGTTGTTGAACTGGTGGTGATAATTGTTTATTCATTTAATTTAATTTATTTAATTATACTATTTATTATGATACAAAATATTTCTTTATTTTTAAACTTTATCTTTTTTTATAAAAATATATTACTTTTTCATTTTTTTCAATTAAAAAAAAAAAAAAAAAAATTAAAAAAAATTTTTTTTTTTTTTTTTTTTTTTTACTTTTTTTTTTTTTTTTATCTGAAATATATAAAAATAGATAGTTATTAAACTAAATACAACATCATGATGTTTGTCCGAAAGAGTTTAATAAAATTTTTGTTTTTTTATTAATTTCTTTAAATCTAATATTTTTTCCCAAAAAATCAAAATCGAAACAAAAATTTTCTTGAATGAAGAAAGACATAACAATCTACATTTCTTTTGAATCAAAGAAATGAAAAACAAAAAACAAAAAAAAAATAAAATTAAAATAAAATTAAATAAAAAAAAAAAAAACAAAAAAAAACACACACACACAAAAATAATAAACTCAAAAAAAACAAATAATACACATAATAATTAAATTATATACATAAATGGACAACAAAATTTTCATCTTGTTATCCTTTTTTAATTTAATTTTTTATTTAATACATATTTAAAAATAGATTAAAAAAAAATAATAAATAATTTAAATAATTTAAATAAATTTGTGCTATTTAAAAAATTAAAAATATAAAATTTAATAATAATAATAAATAATAATAATAATAGTATTAAATAACAAATAAATAAAATAATACTTTTATATTAATATTAAAAATAATATTAAATTTATTGTTAATTTTTATAAAAAGTTAATAATATAACATTTTTATAAAATATATTTTTTTTTTAATTTTAATTGTTATAATTATATTTTTTTATTTTTAATTTTTATTTGTTATATTTTTCCAATCCATTTATGATAAAAATATATTATAATAAGCAGTATTTGTAGTAATCATTGTAATAAAAAGTAATCATTGATGTTATAATAAGGATAGCATATATAGGGAGTATATAATAATAATAATGATAAAATATAGTTTATTGTTATTGTTTTTATTTTATACATATATTACAAGTGCTTAGTAAGTATTGAAAACTATAGTAGCAATAGTAATAATATTTAACTTTTTTAACAAATAGGAAATATCATACTAATTTATCTTTTATTAATTATCTTATATAGCAATAGTAATAATAATAATAATAATAGAAACTTCAACTTAGAGACTATTCAAGAGGGTAATACTTTGAAAATAAAAGGGAATTATTTAAATGCAAACTCTAAATTATTTTTAAATCAACAAGAAATAAAAGCAAACTTTAATGGGAAAGAATTTAATGCTCAAATACCTTTGGATTTGTTAGAATATAACTTTAGTATTGAAAACTCACCTAATGGTCCAATCATACCAGTTTCATTCACCCCAAAACCAATTATCAAATACATATATTCCATTTTCAATAATAATACATTTTCAGTTATTATAAATGGTGAATTTTTAGGAACAACCATAAATAAAAAAAGCAACTATAATAAAATATCAATCAATAATGCTCAGTGTCTAGACCTGTCAATATTTAATAATGATAACACCTTAATAAAATGTACATTAGTTAATAATCAACAACAAGAACAACACGAAGAGCAGCATCAACAACAAGAATCATTAATAAATAAATATATATTAACAAATAATAAAATTAGTATACAATCATCAAAATACAATAGCAATGAAAAAACACTATATGAATTTAATGAAATACCGGTATTAATTCAACTCTTTGGTTACAAAAAAGATCTATTAAACGACAAGCTATTTTACTTTAATACTTCATATTACAATTCAAATTGGTATTTGAATTCGAGTATTAAACTAACCATCTTCGATGCCGATAATAACAATAATATAGTTT